CTTGGCCTCGAAGTACCTCGTGAATGCGGAGACTGTTAATCAGGCTCCTGCAAAGTGGCCAGACCTGTACACTTTCCAACACTCTACCTTCCCCTCTCCTGTTAATCCTCCCCACAGCCTCAAGAGCTGGGCACGGGGACAGAATTCCCTCCCTGTTACACTGAGTGCATGGGATCAGAGAGGCGCAGTGCTTTCTCTAAGGTCACACAGCTCTGGAGTGATAGAAATGGAGCTTGTACCTGCTAGAGCCACACAGAGAGGGGAAGGGTCTGTCTGTAGGGAAGTCACAGGCCTGTGCAGGTGATATGAACCTCTTTTTTTCCTGCCCAGCTTTCTCCTTCCCTCTCTCCCTGCTTCAAATGCTTAGTAAGCACCATATGTGTGTGTGTGCATGTGTACCAGAGGAGGAAAAGGACAGAGACAGAGGAAGACCAGGAAAGGAAGCAAGCTGGCAGGGTTATTTTTAGAGCCCCTTCCAGGGACCAACTGAAAGGGCTTGGGGCTTCAGGGGTGCAGTGGGGGGTGGCAGGCCAAGTGAGGGTCAGGGCCCTTTGTGGGTGTGCAGTGCGCATGTGTGGCAGGAGGGTCTTGGGCCACCCAGTAGAGCACCAACCTCCTCAGTGACAGAGGCAGGATCTGGGGACCCGAGAGAGGAAGGGGCGTGCAAAGTCACTAGAGAACCAGGAGAGGCTGTGAGTACTGGGCACAGGGGCCCCCTGCCCTTGAGCACCATAGGGCAGGAGCAGGGAGGCCACGCAGGGGCCACAGCAAACAGGTCATGCTGCTCTCCTGGGTGACTGGTGGGACAACCAAAGCACAGGGAGTTGGGGTGGGACACCTGTCCACTGGAGTGCCCAGGATATTGGGCCTCTGGCTTCAGTTGTCTCTCATCTTTAGGCAGAGTTACATGGGGCAGGAGGAATCCTCTGGGGTCCAGCAGGCTCAGGAAAGGGAAGGAAACAAAGCTGGAGCTGGGGGCAGGGCTGGCAGAGGAGGAGAGGCACTTTCACAGAGAGAAGGAAAAGAAATGAGTTATTCCAGTGTGGGGAAGCTGGCAAAACTCCGCTGAATGTTTAAACAATCCTGTCAATTATTCATCTCCCGGCATGAGGGCCGCTGGTCTGCTGCAGAGCTCCTCTGAACAGGGGAGGAAGGAAGGGGAAGAAGGAAGGGAGGGAAGGAGAGAGAGAGAGAGAGAGAGAGATGGAAGAGAGGTATGCATGTACACGTGTGTGACAACCCCATGCTTGGGTTTCTGGGGTGGAAGCAAGACTGAAGCAGTTTCTTGAACAGCCCCTGAGCACCTGTGCCTCAGTTTGTCCAGAGCACAGCCCACATTCTTCTCCAGGGAGCCTCACTCCCAACTTCAGGGGCCTTAATGTGCCTTGAGTCTATGCTGGACCACTAGTCCTCTAGGGGACATGGCAGCTGCTGCCTCCTGGGGACTGTCCAGGATCATCCTGCCTCCCTCTTCCCAGAAGGCAGGGGGGTCTGGTTTTCTCCATGCCTGGAGCCATGAGGAACCGGGGAACATAGGTGGGAGGGGGACACCTCCTAGGCCTCTGTGGGTGGAGCCCCTCAGCTCACCTGCGGAACATTGGTGTAGGAAGACAGAAGTGGCTGGGGCTCAGCGTGTGCAGGGGAGAAAGGGGTGTTGGAGAGCTGCCACATTTAGAATGACCCTCAAAGTCCCCCTTCACATCTCATCAAGGCAGACATCCTGAGCTGCTCAGAAGGGAGGCACATGTCCCTTAGTTCCTGGAGCCTGGCGCACACACTGGACCTTAGCATGCCTTCCCTGGGCCAGAGCCTTGACCCGCAGGATAAAATGACACTCAAAGGGGCTGTGGCAAGGCCCGGTGTCAGGAGACAGGAAGAAATGGCTGAGTTTGGCAGGGGGCCCAGGTTAGGCTGGTGGGCTGTGGCTGCAGAAGGGAAAGATCTGGGGGTCTTGGCACCGAAAGGCATAGATGCACCCCGCTGTTATCCTGCAAAGAGCTCCATTTTCCACAAAATGTTCTTTTCCTGCTAGGCCAAAGTGGGCTCTAGAGGGAGGTAGGGATACGTGGCTCAGAAGGCATTGCGTGTGTAGACACAGACCAGTACTGGGGGTGGTCGGGAGACACTACGGGCCGTGGCCAGGAGCTGAGAGCGCCTGGGCTCACTCTTGGTTACTACCCATCCCCGCGTGTCTCTGCGCGGCTTCTCCCACAAGCTCCACCACCACTTCAGAGACATGTCTAGGACCCCCAGGCTTGTGGCAGGGTCACTGCTGCCCAGATGGGTCTTGGCTTCTCAGGACCTTTCCCTGATCTGTAAATTTGTCTATGGCTCACACAGCTCTGAACTCTCACTCTGCCCCACAGTTGCAGCCTCCTGCGCTATTACGTGACTTCTGTGCTCCCTGGCCACGTTCTGTTGCTTGTCACTCTGCCTCTTGGTTGCAGGAGTCCAGGCATCGCTATGTAATTTTGCTTGGTTGCTATGGCATGGTGATCTGTGGTTGTGCGACTACCTGTGATCATCTCGGAGCTGTCGATCGTTGCTACCTGCCTACACGCTAAAGCTGTAACGGGCTGCGCTGGCCCCGCAGGAGGATGCGTGTGTGTGTGTGTGTGTGTGTGTGTGTCTTGGTCCTGCTCTGGTCCTTTTGGGCTCTGGCCCGCAGATAGGAGCTGATGTCCAGCAGCCAGTGAGGGCACAGTGTCTGGTGGGACAGCCAGCATGGTACATATGAGTGTGAGAGGCACAGAAAGAGGAGGTAGGAGTCCAACTGGGGTAGGAAAGAAAACAAAGAATGGACCCGAGAGTCAGGAACCAGGAGGGGAGGAAGGGATGGAGATTGGCAAGGATGGGGGAGGTGTCAGAGGGATCTGATAGTGATAGTGAGCAGGGCTCTGGAGCCTTCTGGGGCTTCCTGGGATGGACTCAAAGCAGCACGGGAGGGGGAGGTTGGGAAACCCTGAGGAGGTGTCTCTATACCACCACCTCACGGCTACCACTGGGAGGGGGGAAGGCCACAGTGGATTCTCATGAGGTCTGTTCTGATGCCCTCTCTGTCCAGCCAGGGGTTTTGTGACATTGTCTTTTTTTTTTTTTTTTTTTAGGGAAGTACCTACAAGATGTTCAGGGTCTCACTACTAGATCGGACTCATAGTGATCCTCCTGTTTTCAGCCTCCCAAGAGCTGGGATTACAGACATGTGCCACTATACCCAGTCTCAATCACATCTTAGATTGCTCCAGGGGCGGGGCGGGCACGGCAGGCCCAGAGATTGAACCCCTGGCCCTTGTGCCTGCTTGCAGGCACTTGAATCGGCTGAGCTATTTGGCTGGCCCTGTGACATTGTCTAACAAGCTTTTGACAAAATGTGTGTGTGTGTATGGGAGAGCCCCAGGGCCTTACAGCCCAGAGAGGGGACAACACTGTGTGCATTAGTTCAGGGCTGGGTGGCAACAGCTTGGGGGACACAACTCAACAATGAACCAGCAGCCATTCTTTGGAGCCTCTCCAGATGTCCAGCAAGAGAGAGGAGGAACTGGGGATCGTCCTCTGGAAGCATGGCCCTCCATGGAGTGCCAGGGTGACACTCGGGGTGGACAAGCTGGGGACCTCACCATGGGACCCAAATTACTCTGTAGAGATGGAGCAGCCTGAGCCCCTCTCTATGCCTTGATCCTCCCAGAATTCTATCCTGGCCCCTGAGGCCACCTGTCCTCTCTCCCAGTCTGTCTATTCTTGCTCAAAGACAGGCCCTGCCCATGGCCAACCTTGACATCCTGGCTGCCATCTGGCCAGCTCTCGTCTAGGTTAATCTTTAAGAGAACATCAAGACTAGCGGTGCACTGCCCGTGTGTGATCACACCATTCTTCCAGATACTTTGAAGATGTGTCTGCACTGCCCACCCATCACATCCATCCTGGGTCTCCAGGCCTCTTCCTCCCCACCTCTATTTTTCCCTCCTTCATGCTCCCACTATTAGTCTCATCACACTTGATAAGCGTAGCGTGACTCATGCTAACCCACTGCCCCCAGCCAATCCATGGTACTGAGTTGTTTGTACCTGTTGTCTCCTGCATAATCTAGGCCCTCAGACCTATGGCCTCATATGGACCCTGGATTCTTCGCTCAGCAGATACCAGACCCAGGAACCCAGCCAGAGGGAGCTTTAGAAGTGCTGAGGCTGAGTGCTGTGGCTTGGACAGAAAACGGTGGAACCACTCAGTGAAGATATTCCCGGGCCCACCCAGTGGGAGTCATCCTTGCTATATGTGTGATAGTGTTTGTCCCAGAAGGGTGCAGAGGTACATAGGTGGATGAGGAGGTGGCGAGGGGCAGGGGTAGAGCCCAGAACAAGGAGGACCTGGGTGTCCTTTGGGCTGGTGGCCTTGTCTGTGGCAGTTTCAGATCATCTCTGAAGTACTTCCCATGACCCAGCGGACCCAGCCCTGAGGGGTCTGAGACAGTATAGGCAGGGACTTGCCTCCAAAGAAGTCACATGAGAGTCCGTAGCTGAGTATGCTGGTACACACACACACACATACACCCAACGCCTGGGGGGCTGAGGCAGGAGGATTGCCTGGCGTTTGAAGCCAGCATGGGCTACACAGTGAGTTTAAGTCTAGACTGAACTACACATGACACCCTGTTGCAAAAAACCAAAAACCAAACAAACAAAAAACCCTAAGAAAATACCCAGGTGTGGTGGCACATGCTTGTAATCCCAGCACTAGGGAGGCTGAGGCAGGAGGATTGTTTCGAGTTCAAGACAAGTCTGGGATACAAAGTGAGCTCAAGACCAGCCTGAACTGCATAGCAAGACCTTGTCTCAAAAAAACAATGAAACGAAACAAAACAAAATCCTAAGAAAAATTTTTAAAAAGGACTCCTGCTTTCCATCATGTTCAGAGTGCCCCCATCTCACACCCATCCCCTAGGTGGCTCCTGAGCTGCCTTCCCCAAGGCTCTTGGGGCTACTGGAATGTAGGGAGGCACTCACTGCGTCATGTAATGTGGTCTCTGGTGCCTGGGGCTCCTCTGATTCCCGAGAAGTGGACACACTGGAGTCTGGTGAGCTCACAGTGGACTTGGACCAGGATTCACGGATGGTAGCCAGCTTCTCCTCTAGGATTTTGGGGTCCAGGGTGGGCAGTGTCTTGCTGTTGATGGGTGTCAAGAAGTTTTTTGGCCTCTGAGGAGATGCAGAGAAACTTCAGTTGGATCCTTTCTCTGTGCCTCCCACCCTCGTGGCTCAGCATACCTGGTCTCTGTCTGTCTTTTGCCACCACCCCTGCCAGCCTTTAGCTTGTTTGCTGGGCTCTGGCCACCCTGTCCTGCTGTTACTCTGCCAAGCCAAAGTCTTCCCAGCCTCAGGGCCCTTGTACCTGCTGCTCTCTGTGTGGAAGGCCTCATGGAACTTACGTGCCATCCTCATTGTTCAGAACTCAGCCCAGATACCATCTTCTCTGAGAAGCCCTGGCTGTGGAGGTGTAGACCCCCACTCTGCCCAACCTAACCCCACTTTCAGAGCGCTCTATTCATAGCACCCCATTTTACAGTGCTCACAGAACTTACTCTACAGGAAAATTAACTTACAAAAAGTGGGCTTAGTTGTGAACTGCCTGCTCTCTCCCATCCCTGCAATACTCAGACTATGATGTAGTTCTGTGTAAGCAAGCACAATTTTTACCTCCTGGCTCATGGTAGCTGCTCAACAAACATATATGGGCGCCTAACAAGTTTGCCACCCAGGGCCCCCTCCTCAGGATAGTAACACCTTCCAAAATCCTTTGCTTTCTGGGTGAGGAATATAGCTCAGCAGCATAAGCACCTGCCTGGCAAGTGCAAAGTCCTGACTTTGATCCCCAATACCAGCAAAGCAAGCAAACAAACCAGAAATAAACCCACCCCTCAAATACTTTGCTCTGTGGGCACACTTGTCTGCATAAACTTGTTTCCTTTCATCTTCCCTCATCCTCCAATCTTGTTCCAAAATCTGATCCTACTCAGATCCCTCCTCCCCAGGAAGCCTTCATGCCTCAGCCTAGAGTTATTTGCAGTTTTTCTCTGTTCTTGCAGTTTAGCAACTGGATATCTGTATTTTCACAATGCTCTTTAATCCCAGACTTGCTTGCTATTTTTTTAAAAAAAACTTTAAGTTTCTGGGGTTTAGGGACATACCCATGCTCCCTTTGGAGAGAGATGTCTATAAAGTTTGCTTGAAATCCATGGTTAGTTCTAAAATCTGCCCACTGTTTGAAAAACCATGCATTTGTAGGGCTCTCAAAGGTGACTGACTCAGTGCCACCTCCCTCCCATCAGCTGTTGGAACCCTCCCTTGGTCACCTAGCACACATGTTCTCCCACATCTAGAGTGCTATGCTAGATCAAGGACAGCAATGGAGGGGCCGGGGAGATGGTTCAGTGGAATAAGCACTTCCCTGGCAAGAGCAAGGGCCTGAGTTCGATCCCTGGTTCCGCCAAAACAAAACAAAAAGGACAGCCATGGACATGGTGACAACTGGGACGGTGTGATCAGGGTTAGAGGTACCTCAGTGTTCAACCCTGACCTACCAGAGATCGAATGAGGACAGTGGCTTCCTCTCTAGGTGGACACTTATCTACACACATGAACACGATGACTTGGGAGGGCAAAAGCTCCACATTTTACCACTGAGATCCTCTAAATAATCCCATCATGTGCTCTGCAATTTGGTGTGCAGAAATGCATGAACATGGAGTTTGTTCAGGCTTGAGTCAGTAGATTAAGGGACAGGTGTACAAGAGTGTGGAATCAGCCAGCCCAAGAGGGGTCCCACATGGAGATGGAGACACAGCAAAGGGAAGACAGCTATGAAAAGACTCTGGGAAGGGAAGGGGAAGGCCTGGGTATCCAAGGCTGACTCCAGTAGGCTGGCTACTGCACTGGAGTGCACGACTCTGGGTGCATTCTGTTCAAGTGTGCAGGGCCTTGCTCCTTTTGGTAGCTGCAGGTTGGAGGGTGCAGGATTTATTCAGAGGCTTCCAAGACTTTCTATCTCATACATCTAGTTCAGCACCTGCACCATACAAGTTGGGTTTCCTGTGTGTTTTAGGTAGGAAGCAGTACCACATCTGCCTCCCACTCAGAACTGCTGTATTCCAGACTGGGACACAGAGACAGCTATGATATGCATATTGGATGGATGGATGGTTGTATGCATGCATGCATGGATGGGTAAAGGAATGAAGGAAAAAAACAAGCCAGGGTAAAGGTTGCCTCCTCATTGACCAGGTGGCCCCCAAGGCCAGGGCGAGATGCTGATTCAGGACCTGTAATGACATTTCTCCTCATTTCCAGGCAGAGAGCCAATCTCGATGCCCTGGATTTCATAGACTGCCATCTAATTCAGTTAGGGGAGGAAGTAGAAGTAATGAAATCACGGGAGGCCTCCAGAGGTGCCCCCATCAGTTCTGAAAGCAAGGACAATTGTCTAGGGAGCCCCCTCCCCCACAGTCAGGCCCCCTGATGTCCACTCCACATGGCCTCAGCCATTCAGTGACCCAGAGCCAATGTTTATGGAGCTTCTGGTCAGAGTTCAAAAGAACTTGTCAAGTTCTTTTTTTGTAGAATCCATTAAATTTTATCACAAAGCTGAATTAAAAATGAGACCAGCCCTTCAGTGCAAACTAGTGCCTGCAACCCAATCGGTTTCTGGAGGGTAGGGGGTACCTGAGGCAGCAAGAAGGGGAGTCAGAGTGTCCATGGCTTCACATTGTCCGGACCCAGTATCTTCCTGCAGACCTTGAGGCTCAGGGGCCCTGCTGTGTCCTTCCCTCATCGCCAGCCCTGGCCTGGTTTCCTTGGTGCTGTTACCTCCCACCTCAAGGGTCTCCTGTGCACATACCCAGCCTTCATCGCATTCAGCTTTGCCAGGGTCTGTCCTGGCTTGGGCTTTAGAGGTGAGCTGGGTGGGTGAGTTTTCTGGAAGTAGCTTTACACTTCCAGGCAGTGTAGGTCCTGCAGGGGAGGCCAGAGGCAGTTGCTTTCATCATGTGAGGTTCGGGGACCAGGTGGAGCATTGCACCACCTCCCACAGCACCCAGGTTCTCTCAACAGTTCCTTTTCTTTAGAGCTGGCATCACCTCTTCTGCCTCCACAGCTTCAATGTGCACATGTTTGGGGAAGGAGCAGACCTGAGACCACAGGGAGGAGCCAGGCTGCTGGAGGGTGAGGAGACAGGGAGCCCTGGGATGAACCCTTCCAGGTAAGGCCCATTCATGCCTTTCTGCTCCCTTCTTCAGTGCGGTTGAGAGCAGTGCTGTTAGCCCACCCCACAAACTTGTTTACTTGCTTGTCTATTTGGCAGACTCCACCTCACTTGCTGGGGCAGCTTGGGGCTGACAAGTGGCCCCTGGCTCTGTAACTCCGTGGCTGCAGTACATCCTGCTTCATTAGGGCACTAATTGGAGGCTGACTTTGAAAGCTCAAAGCCATGCACAGCCATGCACTCACTCGGACTCATTGCCCCTATCGCTGCGCTGCTCCATGTGCGGCTGCAGCTGCTCCACCCCCTCCTCCCCACGTGAGTACCGAGGTAGGGAGAAGATGCCCCTTCCCCAGCCTCCTGGCTCTCGCCGCCGGCCGAGACGGACAGACGGGGCCAATGGCATGCTAGGCTGGAAGCTTCTTAGGTCACCTGTCTCCCCGCTCCTGCTAGCATCCTCTGCCTACCTCCTTCCTCTTTTATCCCCTAGATCCCTGGTCATACAAAATGCAACAGCTTCAGCCTGCGGGGCAATTAGGAAGTGGCCAGGCCACAGATGCTGTCCTTGGTGCTGAAAGTGCCCGCCTTCCGGCCAGCCCGCCTCTCGCCCCGCCCCGAGCCTCCCAGCTGAAGAGCACAAGCTTTTAATTGAATTAGCTGGCCCTGAACCCTCCCCAGGGAGCCCGGAGCGGAAACTGACAAATTCTGTTTAACAAAGACATTTGTCCCTCGCCCTGCCGGCTTTGGGTTCTGTACTCCTGTATCCCGTTCATTAGGTATCTAACAAAGTGCGTCCCAAGAAATCTGCTTCCAATCGCTAGTAATTCAGGAGGCCTGATGCAATTTTCTCCCTGATAAGGGTGTCTCGCCCGCTGGCAAGCTCCGTAATGAGCCCTGTGCAGCGGCTCCCTGATCAGTCATTGCTTTGTCATTTCCTGTGGCCACAGTGGTAGGTTCTTATCTCTTCCGTGGTAGGCGAGGCTCAGACAATGGGATCCCTCAAGAGGACTATGCCCTCCCCTGCATACTGCAAGCTCATTTATGGCATCTTGCACGGTCTTACAGCTGTGGTGAGCCTGTCTCCCAGCAAGAAGGGCCCAAGTGTTAATTTTCCATGGGAACATCATTTATTTCCTAGGAAAACATGTCAGAGGGTTAATCCAAAAGCAAGGTATAGGGTCAGGGGAGGGCACCACTGATAAAAGTTTTTGTCAGGGGTTTTAGGATTAAGCAGAGCCTTGGGTGTAGCTCTGTGGATGTGCTATGAACTCTTGTTAGCCTGAAACAGGCTCTTTCTGTATTTAATCTTTATTTTCCTTTAGAGTCCCCTGAGTCATATCTAGAGAGACCTTTACAATCTATAGGTCAGATCACATCCTACTGGGGCTTAAGTACCTTCCTTAGCTTCCCATCACTTTTTGGCCAAGTCCAAATCCTACATCCTGGCACTCAGGTCCTCCACAAGCTGGTACCATCTAAGTTTCTAGTCTCACTGACTGCCAGAGCCCCCAAATGTCCAGGGACTCCAGACACTGCCTTGTCACCACCGTGTTGCATGTGCCTTTTTGCTGGATGCACCTTCGCCAGTCAACTTCCAAGCCACAAGAAGGCAGTGCTCAGACCATGCCTCTATGTGGAGGTCAGTGCACCTGCCTCCACTAAGACCCTGTGGCAAGATGGATGGTGACAATGTCGGAGCACAGACAAGAACAGCTTAGGGATCGGTCATTAACCACCTGTCAGTGGTTGATGACCTGGTTGGCTACAGGCAGGTAAGTCTATGCTAGGGGTAGTCTGGATTTGAGATGAAGACAATCCCAAGGGCATCCACCACCTTCTGAGAAATCTGATCTGCATGCTTCTGCTGCTTCTGCCCCCTGTCTCTCTTCTTTCCCTTTCCCTTCTTCAATCTCACAGTGACTCATTGGTCTCATAAGGAAAGCAG